TCTCTCTCTCTCTCTCTCTCTCTCTCTCTCTCTCTCTCTCTCTCTCTCTCTCTCTCTCTCTCTCTCTCTCTCTCTTTTTTAAATCCCTATGCTCCTGTTGCCCCGAGATTCCCTCATTCGACACCTACCTTGCGACATCTTGGTCGTTGACTGACCGAGTTGAAACCCTTAGCCCTCACCATTATTACTTGACTTTGTTTCCAAAATGCAGGTACCGGCTTTTGGATGAAGAGGAATGTGCACCCTTTACTGATGTATACTGGTTGAAGTTCGTCCATATCAGCAATGCCAGGTAGTTGTTGCTTCGCCAAAATAGCTCTCTTTTTTCTCTGTCTTCAGATTTCTTCTTCTTTTTCAGAACATTTTTTGCATGCTATGTGGTGGTCCTAGGCCCAGACACCTGGGATGCACCTGTAGCTCAGTCAAATGAAAGGCATAACCCTTGTTCTAAGCTTCAACAATATAAGATCAGCTTGGGTAGAACCGTTTGCGACCACAGCATGACTCCTTGAGAGTCCGTGCAGTCCAAAAGAGGCCCCTTTCCCCTCTTCCTTCAAGTAACTGTAAGGGGGCCATTTTCTATTCTCAGAGTAAACTCAGGCCCGGGAACCGGGGCCTAAGAAAGTAGACAGTCTGGCTCAGACCCATCAGAGAAGTCAAGCATTTCTCTGGTAGAACCTGTGCCTTTCAAAACCCTTGTGCTCCCAGATGCATGCGAGCCCAGCTGCGGTCTTCCTTGCCTGATGTTGCGTCTCCTCGCATTCCAGGCCAGGCAATGCAATGCATCTCATCCACTCATTCAATCCTGGCCTAGCTGGTCACAGACAGACAGACGGACAGACACAGAGAGAGAGAGAGAGAGAGAGAGAGAGAGAGAGAGAGAGAGAGAGAGAGAGAGAGAGAGAGAGAGAGAGAGAGAGGTTTCTCCTATGATTAGACCCCTCCCTGCTTTGTGGTGTTGCTTCTCTATTCGCATTGTCAGTCTAGGGCATGGTTGAGTCTGATTTGAGTCTTCCGAGGTGATACATTGTTTGTCTTCCTCCCCCCCCCCCCTCCACACACACTGGTGATTCTTGGACTCGCATCCATGCCGGTCGATGCATGCCGGTCGATTGGCCGGGCATCGCACAATGAAGCCTTGCAAATGAAATGGATAGTCGGGCTCTTAATCAATAGTGAGCGGCGCCATGGCATGTCGTGGCTCATGATCAGATCCGGAACTTGGTTCCTTTCTGGACAGATGGAGTCTCGTCATCAGATCCTCAACTTGGTTCTTTTCTGGGGCAGATTGACGCATCAAAGGTTTTCTCTAGCTAATGAATAAGCGCGTTAGTCCCCTTGGGAATAAGGAGGCAGAAGGGGAAGGGATGCTTACCAAGATAGGAATGATGCGCTGAGCACACATTGATTGATAAAGCATCCCTCACACTGGAGAAAAGGCTTTTCGGAAAGGGTTAAAACTTACGAGTCGAGTGCGCAGTCCTTTTGGGACATCCGTTTTTAAAGCTTAAACCACCAGGACCTCCTAAAAGTGCTCCGCGTTAACGGGCGTGGCTTTTGAGATGAACGGGCCTGGGCCGGTAGCCCCGAAACGGCGCGATTTCCACTTTTGGCTGGTCGTTAACGCGGAGCACTTTTAGGAGGTACTGGTGGTTTCAATTGGAAGGATAGTTACGATACAGAGAAGATTAGCACGACCCCTTTGATAAAAAAAAAACCATAAAAAACAACGTCCAAGTGCAACAGAAGAGATACCAAGAGCAGCCTTGTTTGGGAACACTCTGCGGGTAGACCAGTGAGATAACATGTGGGACATTCGCAAGTAAAGACAGGAGGTGTCGCACATGGCGTGGAGAAGGGAGTGTCGAAAAACGGTCGAACACCTATGGGATTCTGCGAATAAGAGATAGAAGACCGGAAACACAATTTAGACCACAGGTTTTACAGGTTGTCACAATCGAGAAAGGAATGCAGAAGAAACGGAAAAATAAAAGAAAGAAACGGTATACAGTATCCCAGAAGCGTGGAGGAAATTAGTGAATGGACACATGCGAAGAAAGAGGTGATTCGGCCACCGACAAAGGGCAACCAACTTGAACCAAGGCAGATGATCAGTCTAAGGTTCCTGTGACTCAGCGAAGCAGAGCGAACATAGCAGAAGTCAAAGTGTTTGGTATAACCAGTCCGGTGAAGTTGATGACAGAGGTAGGAGAAGAGATTGTAACGACGTTAAAGAGATCTTAACGACGTTAAGAGTTTTACAACCATAGGCTAAGAAAGGTCAAAGTTTAAACCGCCAGTACGCAGTCCCACCCTTGCAGAAAAATGTTCCGTCACCTATTAAAATTTTGGAGGCTTGGGGATACTAATGGACCACCACAATGGCTGGTGGTGCCAGCCAAAGAAAAAAAAAGGGCACTGCTGGCAGTTCGGAAAAGCGTCGCCTATGAAAATTTTGGAGGCTTGGGGATACTAATGGACCATCACAATGGCTGGTGGTGCCAGCCAAAGAAAAAAAGGGCACTGCTGACGGTTCAGAAAAGTGTGGCGGGCAGTGCAGCACCGCCAGGGCCGCCCCAGGTGTACTGGTGGCTTAAGGAAAAGAACAGACTTCCCTCTGCACACCGGACAGGGACACTGAGGATCTGCTGATAAGCCCACACGTGGGTTCAAATTTCAAATCCTGCTCCTGGAAGCAGGTGAATTAAGTGGCTCTGAATTTCTGGGGCCGGTCAGTCCGATGATCATACCTCAAGGCTGTCACCCTTTTTTTTTTTTCAAAAAGCCTGGGTGAGGACGCCGCCCAGTCGGTTGGGCCCAGGGGGGGCGCCCGGGTAAACCGGGCGGGCCAAAAAACCGGCCAGAATTTTTTTATTTATTTTTTTGAAAACGGGGTTGTTCTGCGCTCGGCGAGAGGACCCCGAATCTGCAATAAAATGTTGGTTTTGAGGGGTGGGTGGGGGGCGTTGGTCTGGGTGGGGGGTGCTGGGGTTGGGGGGGTGTCTGTGGGAGGGAGGAGGATGGCCTTCGTTTTTTTTTTCTTTTAACCTATCGTGTATCACGTGACCTACCAAATGTCGACGAACTACAAGAAGAAGAAGAAGAAGAAGAAGAAGAAGAAGAAGAAGAGGTCCTTAGGAGCTGGAATGTCAATGGATTAGGGAACGTAATAGAAAGAGAAGAAAAATGGAATGATTTGCTGACCGGGCTGTCACAAGGAAACAGGAAGCCAGTAGATGTAGTGTTGTTGCAAGAAACGCATCTCACCTTTTCAACGGACCATAACAGAACCCGTGCTTTTATTGCAAGGAAGCTAGGCRGACTGAGGGACGAAATTTGGTCGGCGGACCCAGACTCGAGCACCAAAGGAACARCCATTCTGATTCCCAAGTCCTCCCGCTTTTACGAMGCAGGTACAGTTCTTGATAAAAGAGCCGATCAAATAGAAGGGAGGTGGTGCATGCTACATCTGAAATGGAAAGAAGAGGAATTCATACTCATCAACATTTATGCGCCGAACTCTCCAACGGAAAGGACGACTTTTTTAAGACACATAGACCAACTGATTCCCCCTCTGACCCCTTGCATCTTAGCGGGTGACTGAAACACCACAATTGACCCGGCAATAGACCGCATTTCTCGCTCCTCCAACATACCAAACTCGGCAGAAGCTATTCCAATTCAGGAAATGATGTTGGATCACAATCTGGTAGAACCCCATAGGATCCTCCATCCTAACAAGAAAACCTTTACCTTGATCAAGAAGAATCACGCCAACCATACGGCCTTCTCACGTATAGACTACTTTCTAGTGTCGGAAGTCATGATGGGGGCGATCAAGGAGGCTGAAATACTTCCGCTTGCGCCATACCCAGGACTGGACCACAAGCCAACTGAACTGATTATCTGCTTTGACCAAGTAGCTAGGAGGGGAGCCAGCTTCCATAACTCTCTCCTATTAAGCCAGTCCTTCCAAAGCGAAGTGTGCGACTGCTGGGAAGGAATGAGGTCGATGCGCCTAAGTACCGAACCCCGTTGGGAATGGTTTCAAAAGAGTTACTCGACCCTCTCAGACACTGTGGCCAAAACCTCTAGAAAACTGGCGTCGATAAGGAAACAGAGAAAGCAAGCACTAGAATTCGCGTTGAAAATAGCGGAAACTAATCTAGTCAACAACCCTGCCTCCCCGTTGTATCGAGACACCTTCGACAAGGCACGTGAAGAATTGGCCTTGTGGAAATGGTGGGACCTGAAAGGCCTTCAAATAAGAGCAAGAATGTGCGAATTTGAGCTCAGCGACTCGATGACGAAGCATTTTTTTGCCCGGATCAAAGCAAATTCGAGAGCCAGCACGATAGAAGCTCTAAGATCACATACAACTCCCGAATCTGTCAGTTCAGACAGTGAAGGAATGCTAGAAATAGCAAACAAGTTTTATAAGGAACTTTACCAGTCTAGGACTGGCTCGCCGATACCCCCCAACGTTTTAGAGGCAAGGCAGAAAATGTTACACTACCTGGAGCCCAAAATTTCAGCGGAACAGGCCGAAGCTCTTGACAAACCAATCACAGCACAAAAACTACATCAGGCTCTTCAAACAATGAATAATAATAATAAGACCCCAGAAATCGACGGATTAACCAAAGAGTTCTGGGAGAAATTCTGGCCACTGCTAGGAAATGATCTGCTAAACTTCTGCAATGATAGCTGGTCTAGAGGAGGACTGGGCAACTTACTCAGCAGCAGTGTGGTTACGCTGCTTTACAAAAAAGGAGAGAAAGGCGATATTAAGAACTATAGACCGATCTCACTGCTGACTCTCCCTAACAAGATCCTGGCCAAGACCCTGTCCAATCGGATCACTAAAATTACCAACAAATGTTTCCACATCGACCAAACAGGTTTTATCCCCGGGCGGTACATCTTGGAAAATGTGATGACGCGGAACGAATCGGTAAGAAAAATCAGGGAAAGGAAGATAAACGCTGCCATCCTCTTTTTTGATTTTGAAAAAGCTTATGACCAAGTAAATTGGGACTTCATGGAAGCAAGCATGATGGGAGTAGGTCCGAATTTCAGGAACTGGGTTAGGATACTATACAGGGATGTTGTAGGTTGTGTCCAAGTAAACGGACTTCTATCAGACTGTTACCCAATATCCTGCTCGGTCCGCCAAGGAGACCCACTGGCCCCTTCAATCTTTCTATTTGTAATGGAGGCAATCGCTTCCTTCCTGCGTAAAGACCCATCGATACAGAGACTAGCCAGTACCGACGTAGGCTCAGCGCACCA